TATCAAAAAGTCAACTCCCCGGTCAAACTTTCAAAAAATTCAACTTTCGATATTTCAAGCCTAATTCCACTACGGATCTCCAAATAATTTTTCGGACACACTCCTAAGTTCAAAATCACCATACGGAGCTATTGGAATCATCAAAATTAAATTCCGAGGTCGTTTACACATAAGTCGACATCCAGTCACTATTTTAACTTAAGCTTTAAACCTTGGAACTAAGTGTTCTAATTCATTCCAAAACCTCACCGAATCCGAACCAATTACCCCAACAATTCACACAACAACTGTAAAATACAATTTGAGCAGTAAAGGGGGAAGCGGGGTTATAATACTCAAAACGACTGGCCGAGTCGTTACACCTAATCTCGAAGTGGTAGAGAAGAGATGAACGACTTTGACACTCACTATGGGTCAATAATAAAAATTAAAATAAAACTAGAATATCTAAATCAACACAATTCATAGAATTTACAATAATTTATTTAACCACTAAAAATAATTAAATTCCTTCAAATGCAACAAATCCTCAATATATTAATTAAATTCCTTCAATTCCAATAAATTTCCAATTTATCAATTAGTTTCGCAAGCTGAAATAATAATTATTATTAAGCACGATTTCTGCCGAGGTCGTACGGCCCGATCCAGAGTATTGTGTACACTGCCGAGGGACGTGCGACACGATCCATAGATGCATCTATCCTGCCGAGACGTTCGGCCAGCTCCACAAAAAAGGAGGACATTTTCTTATGTACCTCCGGAATGAGAGTATATTTATTATAAGATAAATTCAGGAGGAAGAACAATTTTTCTTAATAATTAATTAATTTAAACATAAAATTTAAGCACTAATTAAGTAAAGACTACCATTTACACAAGTAATTCATGCTTTTGAGTCCTAAACTACCCGGACTTTAGCATTTAATAGTAGCTACGTACGGACTCTCGTCACCCCGTGCGTACGTAGCCCCCACAATTAGCAACAATTATTTAATATAATCACCTATGGGTAATTTCTCCCTCACAAGTTTAGACAAGAGACTTACCTCGTCTTGCTCCAATTTAATCCACTAGAAGGCCCTTTCCTCGATTATCCAACTTTAATTGGCTCGAATCTAACAAAAAATAATTAGATACAATCACTAAAATTTGTAGGAATCAATTCTATAAGAAAACACTACATTTTCAATAAAAATCTCGAAGCTTAGTTATGAAATTCGTCTGTGGGGCCCGCATCTTGGAATCTGACAAAAGTTATGAAATCCGACAACCCATTCAATTACGAGTCCAACCATACCTCTTTTATAATTCTGCCCAGGCAGCCATCGATCATGGTCTCGATCCTAGCCTCGATCGTGGCTTCGATCTTGGGCTCGATCTTGGCCCAGAATTCCCAGCAGACAGCAGCTGTTTTAAGTCCAACTTTTGATCCGTTAACCATCCGAAACTCACCTGTGGCCCTCGGGACCTCAACCAAATATACCAACAAGTCCTAAAACATCATACGAACTTATTTGAAACCTCAAATCACATAAAACGACGCTAAAACCACGAATTATGCTCCAATTCAAGCTTAATGAAACTTAAAATTTCCAACTTCTACATTCGAAGTCGAAACCTATCAAATCAAGTCCGATTGACCTCAAATTTTGCACACAAGTTATAAATGACATAACAGAGTTGTAAAAATTTTCAGAACTAGATTCCGACCCCGATATCAAAAAGTCAACTCCCCGGCCAAACTTCCAAACTTTAAATTCCAATTTTAGCCATTTCAAGCCTAATTTCACTACGGACTTCCAAATAAAATTCCTATCATGCTCCTAAGTCCAAAATCACCATACGGAGCTGTTGGAATCATCAAAATTCTATTTCGGGGTCGTTTACACATAATTCGACATCCGGTCACTATTTGAACTTAAACTTTCAATTTTTTTCATCAAAATTCCTTATCTCGGGCTAGGGACCTTGGAATTTGATTTCGGGCATACGCCCAAGTCCCAAATTACGATACAGACCTACAAGAACTGTCAAAATACTGATCTGAGTCCGTTTGCTCAAAATGTTGACCAAAGTCAACTCAGTTGAGTTTTAAAGCTCTAATTCACATTTTAATCCATTTTTCACATAAAAACTTTCTAAAAAATTTTACGGACTGCGCACGCAAGTCGGGGAATGATAAATAGTACTTTTTGAGGTCTCAGAACACCGAATTAATTATTAAATTTAAAGATGATATTTTGGGTCATCACACAACAGATGTTTTTGCCCGTATAGAATTGTCTAAAAAAAGTAGGGACAGTAACAGGAGGGTCAGGAAGAACATCATTTGGATTATTATTAGTTGGGTTAACTTCAGGAGTAGGACTAGTGGGTGTATCATCATCCGGTTGTGTTTCATCAAAATCTATTTCTTCATCATCATTTTCATCAATAGTTGGATTACCATAAAGAGCATTCATATATTCATGGTTTAATTGTTCATCGGGTAAAAAATATTATGGCAAAATTGACTCTCGGTAAATTGTAATAAACTATTATCGCTATCAAGAATAGCAGGTGTAGGGCGGGTAACAGGTTTGGGTCAGGGAGCCGGGGGAAGTGGAGGAGGTACAGATTGGCCACTAGATTCACCACTCTTGGATTTTCCCTTATTTTTACTAAATATTCTTTTTAAGGAATAAACCATCTTAACTAATCAAGCAATACAAAGTAAATACAACAAACAAAACTATAATATTAAAACTTAAGAGTTGGAACGAGTTTACCGAATTGACGAACAACTTGTTAAAAATTAATTATCGTTGAAGACTTGAAGACTTCAATTCACTAACTTCACAATTTTGCACAAATTGTAACAATAAAGTAAGCAATTATAGAAGAAAATTAGAGAGAGATATTGAGAGAGATTGATGATTTTGTGAGAAAAATGAAAGAATGAGGGGGTATTTATAGTTGAAAATAAGGAAAAGTATAATTATAAAAAGTTTGGGGTTAAATGACTATTTTATAAATAGCCAACGACTATTTTGGCAGGTAAAATGGCCATATTTTAAATGCCATAACGGCTATAATGTGGCAGATTTTGTTTTTTTAAAAAATTAGCCGTTGGGCTCGGATAGGACCGCTTGAACCGACCCACTTCCCAGCCGGTCGCGATCTCACGGGGACTTGCGGTCCTGGACCGGGCCCGATCCTAACCGGCCCACATACCACTCTTAGTTTCGTCGTATATATATTGCTTGAGAATCAAGTAAAATTACTATCAATTATTTTGCGTTTGAGAGAATAAAGTAAAATTACTATCAGTTAGTTTGTGAGAAAAATTAATAGGGTGAACATGGTAATTAAACACTTATTCGCATTCAGAATTTAAACTAAGCCAGAAAATGTAAGATATTTATTTGTCATCGTATATTTATCAATTCCATTTCCAACCGTATGAGAGACAAAAGAAATATGAAAATTCAAAGTTTAAATCAGAGGATATTGTTCTAACATAATAAACTTCGATATAAAAAAATGGGAGAAGGATCAAATATACCCATCCTTCTACATGTTTAAATATACCAGTACTGTTAACAAACTTATCACAAATACCCCTGTCCCTAATGGAACGTCCGTCATCACCAACGGCCGCCCCTCTATTCTTCTTCTCCATAAAACAATAACTTTCTTCTTCACCTCATCTTCATATTTTAACCCATATATTTAGCTAGAAAATACTGATTATGAATTCAGTCCAAATAAGAAGCTAAACTCTCACAAAATTATAAATTATCCAAAACCTTTTTAACCCAAAATATAAAAGATCAGTGAAGACCACCAAATTCACTACAACCATTAAAAAGTTTTATGCAAGATAAGCAAAATAGAATACTAATGAACATCAAAGAATGTTAATTTTTTTTCATATTCAAGAGAAATGAGATTGAAGAAATTTATAGTGAGTATGGTATTGTTAACCGTTTGTTTCTAATTCTTCCAATATTTCTAGTGCTACAAAATTGTACAATTTAATTGCTTGAAAGTATCCAAATTTGCGGAAATTTGATTGCGTTGGATTCAAATTCAACGTTTACTTAAAAACAAATTGTAGATCAGAGGATATTTTAAATTTGAGAAGACCCTCCAAATAAAGGTTATTGACAGTGTTCTCGACTACGGATCTGAGGATTTATGAATAGGGTGCATGGTCGAGTTTATCTCATGTGGGTTGAAGAAGAATGAGAGTGAATGATTTTTTTATCTAACTGTGTTTACATTGGGCGGAATGGTGGTGATGGTTATGGTGGAAAGGAAACAGTGATTTTCCCCTTTTAGAAGAAAGTTAATACTAGAGGTGAGCCTAACGATCTAAAATGATGGAGCCCTGAAGGTGAAGAAAATGGTGGTTTATCATTTTAGGCAGGGGCGGAGCTACAGTAGTGGGTGCGGGTTCGGGCGAACCCAGTGACTTTTTCCGGAATCCTGTATTTGTATTGAAATATTTACTAAATCTATATAAATATATACTGCCGAACCCAGTTACAAAAGGGGTCTTGGTTCAATGGTAAAGGTTGTGGGTTCGCTGGAAAAGATGAGGGTTCGATTCCCCCTGAAAGTAATATTTAAAAATATTAAAATTTAGAACCCACACACTTAAATCCCTGGCTCCACCTCTGACGGAGGAGGCAATGGAGAAGAAGGTTGGAGTGGGGGCAGTTGGATGGAGTTTCTGTTAGGATTAGGGGTACTTGTGATAAGTTTATTAACGGCAGAGATATATTTATACGTAAAGTATAACGAATATTAAATATAAATAATTTTTAAAAAGTATAGAGGTATATTTGATCATTTTCTCATTTTTTTTTTTTATAGTGAACTACAAAATGAATTGACCGTTTAAATCACCACGTCAATATCTAGATAGTATGAACTCTAACAACTTACCATATTTAAGCAATCCCAAGACTAAAAAGAGAATAAAATCCAATTTAAGGATCAATAAATTGAGGAAATAAAATAAAAACGGAGTGGCATTTACGCCAAATTACGTGTCTATCAATGTCAAACGGCACCACCTTCTTCTGAAATTCGTGCTAAGCTTTATTTTGTACTACTGTAATACTTCCGTCTCGCATTTATTGAAATTCCAAACGCCTAAAAAAACCAAAAATGCTGACTGTAGGAGGACGTGTGGCATTCATGAAGTAATACTTGGAATTCTAAAACAGCACCCAGAATCAGAAACCAACGTCTTGCATGGCTTTGCAGAATTCTTGAATTTTCAATACTCACAATTCTTTATTCTACAGTCATTGTTTCAATATTACTATTCAAATTCTTGATATTCATAGTTCATAGATTGTAGAGAAAAGAAGAAAAAAGAAGAAGTGGCAGAGGGAAACTCAGCTGTAAGTAGCTTTTGCATGCTAGAGGTAATTCTTCAATTTTGGAATTTTATCTTTGGAACCCCTTTTGGTCTCAGATATAGTTTATTTACCCTTATTTTGTAAGGATTTAAATTGTAAATTATAATAATTTAGTGCTATTTTTGTCATGTACGGCTCATTTTTCTTTTAAGAAGATTTATTTGGAGTTAGAAACTTCAAACTTGCTGAACTATAGGTAACACTTATTCTGCTAGGGCAAAGCTGTGCATGTTGTATTTACCCATATAGAGGAGAGTCCTAGTACATGTAGAATACAATCTTAACCTATATCTAACAATTATTATCTTTGTGTTTTTTCTTTCTTCTCTTTTTGTTTTTGGTCTAAAATCTTGATTTACTATTCTCAGGAATTTTTTGCTAGTTAAGTTTTTCTTTGAAATTTCTCTGTTATACATTTTTTTGTTTTGATTCATCATCTTCCACCCCCATCCCCAAAAAATGGAAACAGGAAAAGACTGATTATACCTTTGTAATGGCCAGTGGTTCAATTCAAGTGATTGGCAAAGAGATGAATTTGGCTATGGTCTTTGGGATAATATTACTAGCAGGGGCTTTTAGATGAACATTGCATTGGCTAGTGATTTAATCAAAAGATAGAAATTATGGGTTCTGAGTTCCATCTATTTCTGTGCCGGGCTGAGACCAGGAGAGTATTATGGCTAATGGGAAGTGTGTTTGCATTTGTCATACTTGTTCAATACTTAGAACTTCCATATGGAACTCTTATAGGATCCCTATTTTCTGGTTTAAATTCCAATAGAATGAACAATAATAATACACACCTCAATGTTACCGCGGGATTTGATGGGAAAATCAAGATAAACGACTACAATTTTTCGATTGAGTCAAAGACGAGTGGTAATCCTGAAAATACAGCTTTAGTTCAGCAGTCCACACAGCCGAATGATAGATCTGGAGTGGAATTGCTTAAATCAAACGGGACGTTGGCACCAGATACGGCTAAGAAAGTTGGCTACATATTCAATGGTAACAATGAAAATGTAGCCCCGATGTTAGAAGATCAACGCAAAGATGATATTGTCCCTCTAGCCTGGAACGTTGCATCATTGCCAATGATTTCACCACTGAGACAATTTAATGATAATTTGACCACTCGGGTTAGTTCTCATAATCGCCATGGTGCCACAACTACTCGGAATGATGAAGTAGCTGGGCTTGTCCCTTTAAACTCGAATGCTGCATTACGGCCGATGAATTCACCAGCACCCTCTGTTTCACTTAGACATGTTGGTGATAATTCGACTGCTGTGGCTAGTTCTCATAATCCCTATAGTGTCACCACTACTCCAAATGAAGCTACCCGGGTATCAAGAAATGGATCCACTATGACCAACTCCCCGGTTGTGAAGGAAGCTACAGATAGGCCAGAGAAAGGAGTAGTGTCAATATCTGAAATGACTAAAATGATGCTCCGGAGTCATCCCTCGAGCCTTCTAACGGTATGTCTAGGTCTATGTAAGATAAGGGAAAGCTAATTCATTGAAGGAAATTGTTGTTAATCCCTTTTCTATATTGAATTCTGCCAGAAGCCAATGTGGTCTTCAGCCAGTGATGAAGGATTGCGGAGTGCAAAATCACAGATTGAATGTGCAGCCAACATTATAGTTGATCCAGGACTACATGCACCAGTTTATCTCAATGTTTCAAAATTTAAGAGGTACACATTGGTTTACCAGTAGTGGTAGTTATCGTTGTCATAAATTCTTCTTCATCTATTAAAATTGTCATAAAAAGAAAGAATCTTTTCATTGTTACTGTATCTAAATTAGACTCTTGACTTGTCCAGTATATGCAAGCATCATTTATAAGTTGCATACAGCATAATCTGCTTGATCATTCCGGGCGTCCACACCATGTTCTGTCAGTTTCAACTTTCAACTTTCAACTTATTTACTTGCATATTTGAAAAAGGAAAGAATTAGTTATCATAAAGTTACTCTGTCCCAAAGAGTCAAATTATTTTTGGTCACTAAATTGGTCCCGGTAAGACAAATTGGTTTTTTCTGGTTTGGGCGAATCAACTAAGTATATGTAACAAATTTCATTCTTCTAATGCAGGAGCTATGAGTTAATGGAACGGAATCTTAAGGTTTACATATACAGGGAGGGAAAGAGACCAGTATTCCATCAACCAAGGCTCAAGGGCATCTATGCTTCAGAAGGTTGGTTTATGAAGCAGTTAAAAGCAAGCCAACACTTCCTCACCAATGATCCAAATAAAGCACACCTATTTTACTTGCCTTTTAGTTCTCAAATTTTGGGAGAAGTTGTTTATGTGCCTGGTTCTCACAGCTTCACAAACTTAAAAGCATATTTGAAGAACTATGTTGATTTGATCAAGGGAAGATATCCATTCTGGAATAGAACGCAAGGAGCTGACCATTTTCTTATTGCTTGCCACGACTGGGTATGTTTTACAAGTTTTTATTATCATCTATATTCAATTTATTTCTTTATGTAGGATTATATGTCATCTCCAAGTTTCACTTGGATGGGAGAATAAGGAGTTGTGTATGGTTATGTCTTTCTCTTCTTTTATCCTAGGCCCCAGAAGAAACTAGGCATGAGATGGCAAATTGTATAAAGTCTTTTTGCAATGCTGATTTAAAAGAAGGATTCAAGTTAGGAAAGGATGCTTCTCTACCGGAAACAAATATTGGCTCAGCTGATCCCTCGAGAAGCCTTGGAGGCAAACGTCCTAGCCAACGAGAATTTCTTGCTTTCTTCGCAGGCAGTATGCATGGGTACGTCCGTCCAATTCTTTTAAAGTACTGGCAAAACAAAGATCCAAACATGAAAATCTTTGGGCAGATGCGCAAGACTGACTACATCCAGCACATGAAGAGCAGTAGATACTGCATTTGTGCAAGAGGTTATGAAGTCAACAGTCCACGAGTCGTGGAGGCTATTTCATATGAGTGCGTTCCCGTGATCATATCTGACAACTTCGTACCACCATTTTTGGAGACATTGAACTGGGAGTCCTTTGCTGTTTTCGTCCAGGAGAAGGACATTCCTAATCTAAAGTCTATACTCGAATCGATCCCACTAAGAAGATATCTGAAACTGTTTAACAATGTGAAGAAGGTACAACAACATTTCCTTTGGCATTCTGAACCTGTAAAGTATGACATTTTCCACATGATACTTCATTCTATTTGGTACAATAGAGTTTTCCAGATTGCATACTAGTTTTTCTTTTGATCATCTTGTGGCTTTGGAAAGGAAAGCAGAGTACATAAATCTAAGCACCTTATTTCGATTGATTGCTATTGCTATTAGAGTTTTTTGTAACATTGAGTTATGTGGGTATTATAATGTTTGCGCGATGAGCAATAATGAAAGGATTGCCATTTGGTGATTAATCTTCAAATGAATGTTATATATGAATTACTTACTTTAATGGTTTTTTTGTCTTTAACTAAATTAATCTATGTATTGTTAATACATGTATTCTTATTTTTCACATTTTATCTTGCATAAAACAATACATTTATTATGCATAACTTAATGTAGGTATCTTTTTAATACCGTTGGCTAAACATTACGTTAGTTATGCAGCGATTATGTCGTGTTATATGGCTAACCAAACAATGTATTATCTTTATGCTGGAATTATTAATTATATTAGACTAACAAAGCTCACTAATACAATTCTCATGCACCAAGCCACCAACTAAAGTGTTCTTCTCGTTGAACACGTGTTAGATAAAATGATTCCATAGTAGTACAGTAGTTTTCTTTGATAGTTAAACAAAGAGATATAAGAAAACAAAGAAACAAATTAGAACTTGATAATTTGAATTATGACCCGTTGTTTAGTCTCATTTTGGTCTATCACATCTCAGCCCGAGTAATATTAGGACGTATTAGTAATCGTTTATTTTTTAACTCAGTTTATTTTGAAGCACCCCAATACAACTCTATCGCGAGCCTAAAAATGTGATCTTTACTCAATGAACCCATTTACCAACGGTAGGAGTAGTGCATGTAGAGATGCCAAGAGGTGATATGCATTTACAAGAAATACATTTAGTCTAATGAGGAACAAAAGAATCTCATTTGCACCCTATAATGAAATGAACGGCAAACCGAGATTCAATGCGCTATTGTTTGGATATTCTATTCTAAAAAGAGATCACAGGCCACGCTCTCATCTGCGAGTGGGCATATATGTTTCATATTAATGTTTACGTGAAAAATGCCAACAGTCGTACCCAAAAAAACAAAAACAAAGAAGAAAAGGCTCGTACGTGCCACTTACGCAATATCTCTAAAAACGGATGGGCATATTTGTCCGAACATGTCACCTAACTTTATTTAACTCAGATTCCATTAATCACAAGCCTACTCATATCCTTCCTTTTTATTTCCCCTTTTTCTTTTTCCATCTTTACTGCTGTCATAACAGCAAAACAACCCAAAAAAGAGAAAAAAGAGCACAGAAAACACAAAAAGAAAGCTCACAGATTCTACATTTTATCAGTCATGACGTTTCCAAATCTTGTAGAGGTACTAAAAAAATCTATATCTTATTTGTATATATGACTAATATGTTATGCATATTTTATTATGTATCAGTAGGGTATCTGATGTATGAGGTGTTACAACTGGTCAACTCAATCGAAACCCAACTTTTCCAACTAGCTAGTTTTACCAGATGAAGCTGCTAAATATGCTGGAATTTTATCCTAAGTGGTTCTTTTTATTGAGTTAACTGAGTAGCCAAACGTGGCCTGAAGCTGAAGCAGGTTCTTTGTCTTCTTTTGATCTGGTAATTGAAGCTAACTGTATGATTTCAGTTCATTTGCTGCTGTATGTATTGTTGGTTTTCGTATTACTGTTGATTAGCTTCAGTGGTTTTGTTGGTTTTTTTTTTTGCTGTCTTGGTTTCTTGAGTTGTATTCTATTGTTGGAGGATTAATTTTTGACTTGCTTTTTCTTGTTTGGTGATGATGCTATTTTATTGACCAAGCAGCTCTTGCTAGGTTGCATTTTCTAAGTGTTGATTAATTTAGTAACAGAGAAAATTATGATCCTGTTTTTGGCTCTTAATGGTGAAAACATCAGCTTGACCATTAGTTTAAGTGGAGAATTGTTCTTGTTAAGGAGGTTGAAATATTTGGAGGAATGGTTTCTGATTTTTCTAATCGAATTCTTTCTTTGAGTGGTGGTGTTTTATTATGTTATCCAAGTACTGAGTTATTGCAAAATATATAAAAATATACTATGTAGCGGTACTGAATTTGGGATTACTACTGAATATGGAATTTGAAAATTAACCAGGGATAGTGCTGTGCTCTCTTCTATCAGGTGTGCTGATCGAACATGGGTTCTGAAAAATATCTTAGTCTGTTAGAGACTAGGCGACTGATATGGCTATTGGGCGTGGTTTTTGCCCTTGTTTTAGTGATTCAGTATGTTGGTTTTCCATATGGTTATGCTCTGTCCTCTTTATTTACTGCCAATGTGGGTCAAATAAACAGCTCGCAAAGAGTAAATCAATCCCATAACTTCAGTAGGTCAGAAAACCTGACACATGCTAGTGTTGTGAACGCTACTAACACGAATAATATCCATGAAGCAACCAATGGAACCAAGCTCTCTGATGGGAATAATGAAAAGATAGAGGGTGATCCTATGCCCCCGATGAATGAATCCTCTGGTGATACCTTAACTGAGGACGTTGATCCAGAAGATGAATCCCCTTTTAAGGATTCAGAAATGGGCAACAAGTCTACTGGGGAAAGTTTTGGAAGAAATAGTAGCGTAGCTCCAGATAAGACTGCTGACTCTTCATATGATTTACAAGCTTCAAATGGTACATCTGAAAGGTCTTCATCGCATGTGGATGATACTCATGGGGGAGGCAGTATTTCTCCAGCACCGAGGGAAGCTAAAACGTTCGATATAAGTCCCACAGGAATTTCTGTTGCACCACCACCAATGATTATGACACCTCAGGTCAATGTTGATGCGGAAAAGGGAGCTCCTTTGATATCTTCCTATCAGAACGTATCTGCAAAAGAAGGAAACACAGGTCATGTACTTGAAAATGATAAAATACCGGGGCGAATGCGCACTGACCATGCTCCTTCAGTTAGTCATTCTTCTAAAAGTAGTGCTCCTGCTAAGAAGGAGTCGGGCGGGCCAAAAGATAGTGTAGTTTCAATAGCTGAAATGAATATAATGCAGCAAGAGACTCACACTTCATTTCATTCAATGGTATATATTTTAGTTTGGTACTCTCGAGTGGGATATGACTTGCCTAATTGACGAACAGATACTTAATATTCTAATTATTCCCTCTTCTTTGTTCTTTTGATCTTTTCTGTAGAAACCACGATGGTCCTCAGGTGTGGATCAAGAACTACTACGTGCAAAAAGTCTCATCGAGAATGCACCTCTGGCAGGAAATGAACCTGGCCTATATGCTCCTTTGTATAGAAATTTCTCAATGTTTAAGAGGTAATAAAAAATTGTGAAGCGTACGATGAATCTATCCTTTTGTAATTTTTTTGTAATTTGGGCATTTTCTAATGTTGGACGTGTATCGAGTTGTACTGCATTAGATCAGATGCTTATGCTTTGTTACTCATAAGAAAATAGTAATGCTTTGTTGGAGCTGCTATAACGCGATATCTTAGTTTCGGTCGTGCACACCTTGTTTCTTGGTGCATGCAGTGACTTTCATGCTTGCTTTGGATTAGTTGGCTGTTGCATATACTGAATTTTGGAAATAGAATAGATGCTTTCTTGTGTACTTTATACTGTTTCTTTTACAAAAGGAGCCCTGTGAGACAGATAGAAGCACAGACCTCAGCCTCCATTCTTTAGTTTTCTAGTTTGAGATCATATGAGATTTTCACTTAGTTCTTTGATTGTCACTGGTAGCATTTGTGGGTTGCATCTATATAGAGGCGGTCCGGTGTTCCTGTAGATCTTACCCACTCCTTCATTTTCTCAAGCTTTGCCTTTACTTGTCTTTCAATATGCTTGAGGCTCATTTCTCTGTTCTGACATACATCATATGTAGGAGCTATGAATTGATGGAGCAGATTCTCAAAGTTTACATTTACTCTGAAGGTGAAAGACCAGTATTCCATACACCAGTGCTTAAAGGAATATATGCTTCCGAGGGCTGGTTTATGAAGCTCCTGAAGAGAAACAAAAATGTAGTTACCAAGAACCCCAAAAAGGCTCACCTATTTTATCTACCGTTCAGCTCCCGTATGCTAGAGGAGGCCTTATATGTACCAAATTCTCACAGTCGTAGGAACTTAGTTCGATATCTAAGCGATTACCTCAACACCATTATCCAAAGACATAATTTTTGGAACAGAACTGCCGGAGCTGACCATTTTCTTGTTGCCTGCCATGATTGGGTAAGTTTTGGATTCTTCATTTAATTTAATCTAAGTTCCCAAACGTGTTTTAAAAGATCTGTTTTGATTCCCATAGATTTTATCCATATTTCTCCTGCGTCACGCACAATCTCATCTTATATTTTCTGTTTTCTCGATCAAAGATAAATCATACATACTTTTGTAGGTAGATATACAACTTTCTGTTGGATACTGAAATGAAAAATTTCTTCCTCAGGCCCCTCAAGAAACAAAAAGAATTATGGCTAATTGCATAAGAGCTTTGTGCAATGCTGACATCAAAGAAGGGTTCCAATTCGGTAAAGATGCGTCTCTTCCAGAAACATATGTCCGTGTAGCTAAGAATCCCCTTAGAGAAATTGGTGGGAAGCGTCTTTCTCAGCGACGGACCCTTGCTTTCTTTGCTGGCAACATGCACGGTTACCTTCGCCCTATCCTATTGAACTACTGGGAAAACAAAGATCCTGATATGAAGATTTTTGGCAAGATTAGTACAGTGAGCTATGTCCAATACATGAAGAGCAGCAAATACTGCATATGTGCAAAAGGTTATGAAGTCAACAGTCCTCGAGTGGTGGAGGCCATTTTCTACGAGTGTGTCCCGGTGATTATATCTGACAATTTTGTACCCCCTTTTTTCGAGACTTTGAACTGGGAGGCTTTTGCCATATTCGTACCAGAGAAGGACATCCCGAAATTGAAAGACATACTTGTATCAATCCCAGAGAAGAGGTACCGGGAGATGCAGAGAAGGGTCAAGATGGTGCAGCAGCATTTCCTTTGGCACGTCAAGCCTGTGAAGTATGATGTTTTTAACATGATTCTCCATTCAATATGGCACAACAGAGTTTTTGGAATAACGCCTAGGTGACAAATGTACACGAATAGATAGTTTCAGAGTTTTTAGATAATTTAATGCAGCATTCTTTTTGCACACACCACTT